CTTAAAATTCAAATATGAAAAATACTGGAGATAAATTACTTCGTTTATTTATTCAAACAAAAAAACTAGGACATAATTTTATGTATTTTTTGAAAAAAAAAACACAATTGTTAAAGTCCTAGAAGAACCTTTAAAGGGCAACAGGACGATGTTTGAAAAGAAAACACTTTCTTGATATCAATATAATATATTAATACTACTATTATTAGGACAAAGTTTTTTCTTGACAGCCTTTTATAAAATGATGATTATAGACTCCAATTAATTTTTCAATGACTTAAAATTGTTTTTTTTCTTCTAGGGCTGTTCATAATGCCGAAAAAGTTTTCGAATGTAAGCAATGTGGCAAGTCGTTTAAAAGATCCTCGACGCTTTCCACGCATCTTCTTATACATTCAGACACCAGACCGTATCCATGTCAGTATTGCGGAAAGAGATTCCATCAGAAGTCAGATATGAAGAAGCACACTTACATACACACTGGTGAGTCTTTTACAATTTTTCAAGTTTGCTTTCTTTTTATTCGTTTCTTACAAATGAATAAAAACGGAAAATCATTCAGAGTTCGTAAATACCTATTGTTTAAAAAAACTTTTCAAAAATGGAAGCAAACATCCTCGTGCCGTATCTTTGAACGTGTATCTTTAATTATATTGTATGGTACTTAATAATAAATAACTGAACGTAGAACAAAATACTGGTATGCAAGGGAAGAATGCGAATTTTAGGTTCTTAGGAAGTCAAAAAACTCAGGATGGAAGGGTAGTAAGCAGAGGATAACGCAGGGTCGAGTCGCCTTTAATTAAAAGAGGTCACTTCTATGCTAGCGAACGATTTATTTAGAAATTCGGAAAAGATTGTTCAAGGTGTATGTTTGGAGTGCGGCGCTGTACGGGTGCAAAACATGAAATGTGGTGTTAGCGGCGAACAATGAGGTATTAGATAGAATAAAAGAATAAACGATTCTATGAAAGTCAATAAGAAATAGGCGAGATAGATTATAGTAGGACACCTTCTCAGGTATGAAGGTCTAGTGAGAGACATATTAGAGGTAAAAACAGAAGATAAGAGGAGTAGAGGTAGACGTAGATTAGATTACTATTCGCAAATAGTTAAGGATGTGGGATGTTCTAGTTTTAGGGAAATGCGAAAATTGGCTCAGGATAGGAAGGAGTAGAGGTGCATGTCAAACCAGTCTTAGAACTGACGATCTTATGATGATAATGATGATGGTACCTAATACATAATCATCATTCTGAACAAGNATATAAAGCAGAGGATAACGCAGGGTCGAGTCGCCTTTAATTAAAAGAAGTCACTTCTATGCTAGCGAACGATTTATTTAGAAATTCGGAAAAGATTGTTCAAGGTGTATGTTTGGAGTGCGGCGCTGTACGGGTGCAAAACATGAAATGTGGTGTTACCGGCGAACAATGAGGTATTAGATAGAATAAAAGAATAGACGATTCTATGAAAGTCAATAATAAATAGGCGAGATAGATTATAGTAGGACACCTTCTCAGGTATGAAGGTCTAGTGAGAGACATATTAGAGGTAAAAACAGAAGTTAAGAGGGGTAGAGGTAGACCTAGATTAGATTACTGTTCGCAAATAGTTAAGGATGTGGGCTGTTATAGTTTTAGGGAAATGCGAAAATTAGCTCAGGATAGGAAGAAGTAGAGGTGCATGTCCAATCAGTCTTAGGACTGACAACCTTATAATGATGATGATGATGGTACCTAATACGTAACCATGATTCTAAACAAGAACATTGTCCTTTTTGTTGTATTTTTAATGACCAAATTCATTACTGTAAAATAAAAAAAATTACGTAAATTTGGGCGTTTTATAGAAAACGTTTTATAGTGGATCTACTTCATATTCTTATCAAACCTTTATTTAAAATGACATTTACATTGAGTTGAAACCTCTTATTATTCTGGAGCAATGAGAACAATCTGAGATGAAACATGTTTCATGATAATCTAAAATTTTCGTCGGTTAAAATGAAAATGGAAATAAATTCACCTCTGACCGAGCTGTTAGCGAAAAAGGCTCATTTTGCCTGCGTGGTAGGTACTTCTCTTTTTTTTTTTTTCATGTAACCCGTAGCAACGCAGAAAGGGCCTAAAGGAAGACCAACAGATCAGATAATAAGCGGTAGACAGAGAAAGGGAAAGAGACATAGATAGGGAGAAAAAGTGAAAGGGAGAAAGATCGCGGAGGCGCTGCCTGCCGCAGGTCGAACAGGGAGGAATCGGGAGAGAAGTGCGAATCAGATTATTGTCTGAAAGTGGTGCCTGGCATCAAATGCAATAAATTGAAATGTGAATGGTCTCGGATGGTGAGTGAATTGCTAATCGCCGTGTATGTATTCAAAACCGTTTCACTCCGACGCAAAGAAATGGCATTAGGTGGTGGGCACGGGATGAAAGAGTGAGAGTGAGGGAACGACAGACGACTAAACTACCCCGTGAACAACAGATCCTCTAGATACTCCCGACGGTGTTAAGTTACAGTGATAGTGGATCAGCCCCAATATTAGCTTCTGCGATTACGAAAACCAATAACGATAATTATATTAGTGTCCTGCTGCAATCTAGCAGAGTGATCCATGCGCTGGTTAATATTTTTATTCCCCGCACTTTTTTTTTGCCCTCTGTCGCGCCCCGTCTTTATCTTTCAATTAGCTCACGCTGCCACGTTACGCCAATTATTATTATTAATGGGAATGATGAAATTTTTGCTTCCACAAGCTCGGATAAGTTTCTGGAACAACTTTAATGTATTTTTCTTTTTGATTAATCTTGATAAAGTACAATTTTTGAAACTGCAAATTAAATTACGTATAAGTATATAGCAGAATGTTTCGAAAGTTTTGTAATTGACCTTTCATCTGCATTGTAAGGCAGGATTTCCAACGCTGATCTTTTGTAATGGCACAATCGGCAGCCTAATCATTTTTTTTAACAACAATTGACTTACATATATCAGAGATAAGTAGAATAAACGGGCGATTTCAATGTCAAATAACTCATGGATTTCTAATCATAATTCGCACCAAGTCGTTGTTAAAACAATGTTCCCTTTCATAGTGTGTTATTGATACATTTCATTGAACGGGTTTCCAACGTTTACAAGTTGGTGTAGCTGCCATGACCTGACCTGTCAATTGGTGAATTTTTGGAAAGTCCTTTCTATTTAAATTAAACCTTAATATGAGAAAACGACTCAACAAAAGCAATATTTGGAGCAGGATCGTTATATGTTTGCAAAACGTGGACCCTAACCCAAAGGAACAGGTTAGGAGTGTTCGTAAGGTGGTGTTGAAGGAAAATGGAAAAGAAAATAAAAGAGGATGTGCTTCTGATAGTGAAGAGGAAGGAAAAGATTATTGGTCACTTCATACTGCACGACAACTTCTTCAAGGCTATATTAGAAGGAAAATTGGAAGAAAAAGTAGAAATGGAATGCTAAGGAAGGAAAGAGGAAGAAAAGAAGAGAGGAAGAAAACAGGAAATCAAAGAAAGAGTCGTATGTTCATGAACAACCCTTTATAGTTAGTTTCTTGGTCATAAAACGTTGTGTCAGTGGATTCATATCTTGGTTCAATTATCCAACTATTTCAACCTTTATTGGACGAGAGTTTTCGTAGAGTTGATTTTGACCTTTTGCTCTCTTCTTCGATATCCTGTTGTATACAATTGATTGTCAATTACACATCAATAAAAGAAACATTGTTTTTTCGGTCGATTTGGTGTCAATTGATGTAATATATGATTAAAAATCCATAAGTAATTTGACTTTGAAATCGCTCATTTATTCTATCATAACCTTCTGTAAATGGTAGAAAGTGGAAACTGAGTTCATTTTTAGGATTCCTACTATTAAAAAGGTAAAAGGGAACAGCTAGAACACCTGAATTTAATACCACATTCTGAGATATACAGCCTCATTCCCTTATAAAAAATTGAAACTACTTACTTGGTGAATCATATGCGACATTTGAAATACATTTTTTTAAACATGTTGGTCCTGAATCTAGAAACTTGACACAAAAGAAAGTATCACGGCAAAGTAAAGTACAATAATCTTAAAATGATTCATTTCTAATTCGGTTTAAATAAAACACTATAAAATTTATCCATTGTTTATTAAATTGAAGAATGTTTCGTTACTTTGCGGGTTCTTCAAGAAATGCAAAGCTTCTTAAGCATAATGAAGTTTGATTCTCTTTATATACAAATCTGTGACCATAGCATTATTTTCCTCTTTAATAAAACAAGAACAAATGTGTAATTTTGTTTGTATCATTAATAAGCAAGCACAGAGTCTATTTGCGCCTTGTGAAGATTTTAGCCGAACGAGACCAATTAATTGGTCGTAATAATACGGTTGCTAAACGAGAATGAAAGAAGAAAATGACAATGCCTTTTGCTCCTCCGAAGGAGCGACGTTAATGATGGCAAATAAAAAATGCGTTAAAGTGTCTTATTACTCTCCTACGGTTCGCTCTCTGTCTGCGTCACTGCGTCAAGAACATGTGGCCTTATGCTGGCGCGAGGAAACATTTGCTGCTTTAATTTCATTATCGCCCTCCTGGTATTGTGTGATATGTCTCTTCGGAAGTCTTCAAAAAGATTACGTTCACGCACGGTCCTTTTCCCATTTGTAACAGAAGAAATAAAAAAAAATCCACGTGTTTATCTGTCGTATATATACAGAGTGTTCCCGTAAAGTAATGAGACTGATGAGACTGACCGCCGTACGGTGCCCCGTCCGGTTGTATACGAGGTCTATTCAAAAAGTATCGTGAATTTTGTGTTTTTTCAAAAATTACTTATTTATTCATGAATATCTATTTTGTCCCCTTCAATGTAATCCCCACCAGATATTATACACTTGTGCCAACGTTTTTTCCAATCTTCGAAGCACTTAAAAAATAATTTTTGTGATCTTGTTCAGCTCCTCCTTCGGTGCCGTCTATATCTCCTCAATCGTAGCATAATGTCGTCTTTTCATGGGCCTCTTCAGTTTCGGAAACAAGAAAATGTCACAGGGGGGCAGATCTGGGGAATACGGTGGCTGTGGCATTATTGGTGTGTTGTTTTTTAGGCACATGCAACGATGTGTAANGACAAGTGCAAAATTTATTAAATTTATGAAATAAATATCATTCTCTTCAAATAGCATCTGTTTTATGCACAATAAATTAATCATATAATTAATTTCCCTTTAATTATTATTCGCTCTTCTTAAGAACGTATAAATAACGACGCCCCTGGTTTAAATCGATTAAGAGATCATTTTAGTTTGTCAACAACAATTGTTATTTCCATTTCTGCAGTTCTTTAGCCGATCCACCTGCCGTAAAATCACGAACTTAACAACGTCATATTCGGTTTTCCACTTTCCACCTCCTGCTTTGCCTGCCATTGCCAGCATTAGTGTGAGAATTGGCACGGGTACGGTAACGAGTTTGT